CCGTCCCGGGGGGGATTTAACAGCCGGGCAGAGGCGGTGCTGAGGGACAGGGTGTAGTGGTGGGATGGCAGGGGTAGGGGGGCGGTTGGGCTGGGGGAGCTTACAGGGCTTCTCCAACCCAAACGATTCTGTGATTCTATGTTGTTTATGCTTCCAAAACTGTTAATGAAACCCCAGTCGCCGATCCCTGGCTGGATGGCGCCCGTGTCCTTCGTGGAGGGGTTGTCCTGCTAAATCCAACACGGGGAGCAGGGAGGTGCCGCTGGGATTTGCTGGGTTGTGCTCCTGTCCTTCCCTCCGCATTTAAGGTCCCGCTGGGGAAGGGATGCGGCCGCCAAAGGGGTGCGGGTGTGGAATGAGCCAGCGACCTCTCCAGGGTTGGGTTTTCCACCCATTTTCAGAGCCTGCAAGGGCATCGGACACGAGAACCGGCAGGCCAGTTGGCTGAGAAACGATGGCTGCTGCGACGCAGCCCTGCGGCGCTCGTTTGCCGTGGCCACGGAGGCGTGACCGTGCTCCATCGGGGCTCTGCGGAGCTCGCGTGGGACTTGCTGCCTCTTTTGGGCCCCTTTCCGGGCCTGTTAAGCTCAATCTCCCAGCTCAGTCTCCCTTGGGCATGAGCTTGTCCTGTGCCAGCGATGCTTAGGAGGAACTGAAGCTTTGCAGCTGCTCCTGAAAACATCTGCACTTCATTTTGTATACATATATCTATTTTTCTCCCCCTGCAATAACCACACTTACAAAGAGGCTGTAGGCTTTGGAGCAACGTCCCCTTCCAACCTGAGCTGCTCTCTCGGAGAAGTTTGCTCCTCCCTGGGGCCACCGTCTCCTCGCATCGTTAGCCCACGCCTGTGTGCACCCCGAGCCGGCCATCGGGAACGCTTGGACCATTAAATGCCCCGGGCACGGGATCGGCTCTCGGTGGGCAGAGTCTTCCACCGCTGCAGCTCTGCGGGCGATGACGGCGTACCTGCCCGCAGCAGAACGCCCCGAGGCTTCCTGGGGTGGGCTGGGCGTTAAACACCTCCCACCAGCGAATCGCCTCAGCGTCAGGGGCAGAGGAATTTCTCTTCGGCAGATTTGACTGATGTGAAATGAGGTGGTGCCCCTGCTTTGAAGCGGACAGAGAGTTGTTCTGCCATCTAGTGGGACCTGGCCAGGCTGGAGAGTTGGGCGCAGAGGAACCTGATGGAGTTCAACACGGGCAAGTGTGGGGTGCTGCACCTGGGGAGGTGGAACCCCAGGCACCAGGACAAGCTGGGGGCTGACCTGCTGGAAGCAGCTCTGCCCAGAGGGACCTGGGGGTCCTGGGGGACGACAAGGTGGCCATGAGCCAGCAGGGTGCCCTGGTGGCCAAGAAGGCCAATGGCCCCCTGGGGTGCATCAAGAGGAGCGTGGCCAGCAGGGTGAGGGAGGT